TGAATTGAAAAGACGTATTTACCTATTTTATCAGTCAACTTGATCCATCCAAAAATCTGACGACTTTTATGCCTGAACCGTCCGTTTCGACCCCCCAGCTGGCTGAACCCTATTTTCCGACAGCTGCATGAAAGCTCCGACGTCTGAGTCAGGCCTCCTCTGTGGCCCTGGGGAGACTAGGAGTCGGACTCCTATCTGGCCATCCGCTTGCCAACCGTCTGAGTCAGGCCCCTCTCGAAAGAGTACCCTGATAGTATCTGCTAAGCTCAAAGCTAAACCGTCCGAGTCAGGCGCCTCTTGGAAGAGCATTGCTGATATCAATAGTAGCTGCTAAACAGTCTGAGTCAGGCCTCTCATTGCAGGCTTTTGTTGATGTCCAGGCCAGATGGTCGGAAACTGTATAGTATAAAAGAAGGTCCTGCCGCCTCATTTGATCAGTCCCCAAGTTCTTCTTACCCAAGTTCTTCTTACCATCTTTTTAGCATTCTCAAGTAGCTTCCAGCTCACTGAGGCGTTCTAGCGTAGCCAGGACTCTCTGAGTAAGTTAGACCTGCAAATGGTTGCCAGCAGAGGACAGACGTACATCTCTCCAGCTGCGCACCCTGTTGGCAGGAGATGCTTTAGCCAGCTCGCTCCCTGTCAAGGATTTTGGAAGCCACGTGTCTTGCTCTAGGGACTTAATTGCTCCACAGACTTAAGAAGCGCAGCCAGAAGGAGGTATGCAGATTCGGATCAGCTGGTGAATTGCGGGTCCTGCACTGCTAAGCTGAGCTGCCAGTTTGACTTCACTGCCGAGCTGAGCTGCCAGTTCCATTTTGCATTTGCACTGGCAGTGAAAGCTTCTATCCAGCTCAGCTGAGCAGCCATTTCCTTTTGCAAATGTCATTCGGGAGCCAGTACGTCTGTCCAGCTGTGCAGCCTACAGTCAGCCGCTAGTGATCGAGCTCCAGCACTAGTTTGCCAGTGACAAGCGCCAGAAGCGCGCGCCAGACAAGGCAGAGCTCCCGGAAGGTCTTTCGAGGTGAGTGTGATTAGTTCCTGATGAATCAAGTGGTCTAGAGTAAACATACCATAAGTCCTCAATCTCTTCAAGCTACCGAGTAGCTCAAAGGAGTACATTTGCATGTTGCAACAGGCTGCCAACATCTTTGCACTCAAGATTCGAAACAAAATCAGTAGGAATTGAGTACAACTTGGCTCGTCCATGTTCTGTCAGTTCCGAGAGCACATGCCCAACTCAAGAACAAGAGTACTAGCAAGTCGCCATGTTTTCCGTCCATGTTTTGTCGTTCCTTTATATGCATCTCAAATGCAGAACCTGGACAGCCTTGATCTCAAGGCCCTGCTCGAAATATTGGGGGCCTCATTAGATCAGGCTTCTCTTCGACTCAGCATCCACGTGCGCACCTGCCAAACACAAAGAGTTGCCGGAAGTGTGCTTTGAGCTGTCAGCTTCTGAATGTGAACTCTCGTACAGGTCGAATTAAGCTTTCATCAGCGTGGGGGCAGCTTCGTCAAACAACTTGCAGAAGAGCACCATTAAGCTTGCAACTGGGGGCTGTTGGGCATGGCTTCCGACCTGCGATTCCACTGGGAAAGGTAAGCCTGTTTAGCCAGGGCTTCTTTGATGAGTAAGCAGGTACCTGGACTGTCATGGGAATTGGGCCTCCAGTGCATTGAGAATCACACAGCCCTGCTATATGTCACGAGGAGCACCGGCACTCTGGTCGCATTCGTGAGATCTGGTCTATATTTCGTCGCTTCTGTACGAAAGTCGATCTTGCAAATCTAGACAAGGCTGTGGCGGAGGTTCGAGGCAAGAAGCTTAAACGGTGCGCTGTGATCACTAGCTGATTTCGAGCCCTCAGTATTCGCACCCGAAGGCTGACCTGCACCCTTTGTTTGTTCCTCCTCAGTGATCCTTCATCCTCTGAAGAATCGGAAGGAGAGGACATCGAAGGTGTCGAGTATGCGCCCCGCTCTGTTGACGGCTCCAACTCTGGACGCTCACTGGAGCAGTTCCTTCGAGACGAAGACTCTGCCAGCATCCAAGGCCCGTCCTTCTATAGGGCGTTGGACAACGAGAAAAGCTTCAGCCCAGCTCAGCTGCCACGCGGTCTCTCAAGTTTGTTCGGCAAGAAGAGACCTGCTGCGGTGAGCTTGCTTCGTGTATCTGCTTCTGACGGCAGCATAATTCGCCCTTGTTTGACATTGCTTATCGATATAGGTTGACTAAGATAAATCCTCTAGATTGTTTGCAACGTTCTTCTTGACGCGAAATAGGCCCACATATTGCGCAACTTGTCAGATTTCAACAAAAGGACAGCCAATGATTGCTTCGGACAGATCCAAGTGTTCTTGTCAGATTCATCAACCCCATCCAGCCCACTGCCAGTCGACGTTTGGTTATTGAACTGCCGTTGAAAATGGGCTTTGGGCTGCTCTTTAAGAACCATGAGTCGCTCACCGTCACGTATGCCGTGCAGGGGTATCAGCCTACGTCTCCGTTTGCCTGGTCCTACGGCAGTGCCTTCGGAAAGCAGACCTGCGTAACACGAGTGCCAAGGAACCCCAAGGTAGGTAACATGCCGGCTGGTACAAATCTTGGGTGCTCAACTTGTCTTCAAGCTTCAAAGCTGCTACACATGATCATTGATTTCCAACCGTGATTGCATCTTAGACTGTCCAGTAATTGTCAACCGCGCAGAGCAGGGAGTTTCCTTTGGATGCTGACAATTGCCTCCAGTGACGAGAAAAGTCTATTGCACACCAGGTCGGACGAATCTTCCTTTTGCACTTCAAGGGAAGTTGTCTAACTCACCAATCTGTCTCGAAACTTCTTGTCCCCCTTCGACTCACTGCCTTTCCGTTTCAGGTGCCTTTCGGTAGAAGCTGTGTGTCCAACCGGTCTTTAGTGTAAGCTCGTGGGTGGTGCAATTGAGTTGTCCTCTTTCTGACAACCACTCTTTACTGCGGAAAGCATTCTGAGCTTTCTTAAACCCAGTCAAGCTCCAGCAAAATGCGGCTTTGAGTCAAACAGAGTAACGAGCGAATGTTCCAGGGCTCGAGAAGCCCATCAGCTGCTGGATCAGCTGGACAGGCTCACTTTACCTAGACGGTTGAATGCGCGAGAGGCTCTTTATGCAGAAACCTGTTAGAAAAATAGCTTCTTGAGGACTATGATCGACCCGTCAAAAATTATAAGAGCAAACATTCACTGCCGATCAGAATTTTCATAATCTGCAGCACTCACTGCATACTTGTCTAGATCAGAGACCCCCAAAACCCTGTTTGCAAGATTTGCTTCTTCTTTTTCATGCACGACTCCCCTTGCCGTGATACTAATTTTCTCTTACCACTTGGCAGATCCTGACTCTCCTCTCCTTCGGCGCCGGATGCGCTGCTCTTGGGGTCACTTCAATCAAAGGCCTGGTCTGCGACACTCAATACAGCGCTACTCAAAGTTTCTGTTTTTCATGCTAAGGTCGCGGGCTCTCTAGCATTCATAGAGTGGGCTGCCATGCTGCCGTCCGTGACAGGTTCACTCATGACCGTCTTGCGAGAAAGCTTCTGAAAAACGGTTCTCCAGGTTCGACACTTTGAATGATGTCAAGAATCCAAAATGGAGCACGGCTTGAGAGCTGTGCATCTCTCGAAGTGAGCTTGCCGAACCAGAATACACTGCTCCCGAGAAGATAGTACTAGTACGGCCAGAGGATCCGTTTGCAGGGGAACTGGTATGTGTGCAAAAGGGAGTAACTCGTATTCACAAGTCTTTGGATGTCTCTTCCCATAGGCGTCACTCTCAAATCTCGTGGCTGCACGTGCCTGCCCAGCACACACACTGAAGGTCGATGGAGTCATTTCTGAAGGTCATTCATATTGCACAAGGTTTTGAGCAATTGCTCAAATGCATCATTGCTTTCTACAGAAAGAAGTGTTGGCACCCTGCCATTAAGCAAACTCATGACGCCATGCAAGAACTTAGATACATCCCATACTCCGATGCACAGATAACCGTGTTTCAGCGTTTTATTTAACATTGACCGTTCTTACTTTTCTAGCTGACTTTTTGGATAAATAGTGCAGGCGCACATTCAAACTAGGTAGGAATTCCTGACTAAACAAGCATTTGCAACGAATCGCACATATACGGAAAGGCAATAAGTTGGTTTCGAAGTTGAAGTCGCGTAGCTACTAATTTACATCATGCACTGCCCTTGTATACATCATGTCGTACTGCTTTGATAGCTGCTGCTTCACTCAAGTAATACCTTTTCAAATGACGTCCTCGTCGTACCCAGAAGTGTCATGTTGCAATACTACGTACGATGATCAACTTCCAGCATGGATTGAGGGTGGCCGACGGACAGCTGCTTTTGTCGGGCCCGCCCCTTTTAAGTCATATGGCCAGTTGAATCGTGCAAGTACATGGTTGCGGCTATGCTGATAGGCCCGCGCCATGGCATGCCAGCTGATGCAGGCCTATCTAAGCAAAAGTTTCAACTGCATGCAGATTTCATCGATTAACAGTACGAATAAGATTGAGAAGCGGCATCTTTGGAAAACCGTGTTGACGGCAACATCATTGCGAAGCGCAGTGATGTACATGAGCTTAGCTGAAAAGACCCAATGACCTCAGAATAAAAGCAAGCTATATATCTTCCAATAGTCGCATGATTCGAAAAACGACCATTCTCATACGTGTTATAATTAAGCGGTATTCAGGTTGCAATAAGTTGATTGGAAAAGTATGCTTGGCATGGACCAGCTTGCATAGAGTGCACCACAAGGATGTATACCCTGTCCAGTAGCTGCCGCGACACTGGCGGTTCTAAGGCCCTGGCTGGACTGGCTGACGCACAATCCCAGTTGAAGCGAAGATCAGACTGCCATGCTCAATCAAAGTTCATTCAAACTTCCAACAGATTGGCCCTCTACCGGGTAATTCTAGATAATTGGACAATAGCCGGAGGCAACCATTGTGAAACGCCCAAAGAACGGATCATTGTTTCCTCGAGGCTTCCCAATCGCATAATTTCTGATCAAGATACAACAGTGCTCGGTCTGAATTTATGGTAAGCGGTCCAAGGACAACTCTCTCAACCCGCTTAACTCATTCAACCCGTGCAACTGAATCAAACTTCTCATTCGTCAACATCAACCAGGTGGGTTTCCAGCAACCTATAGCATGCGTCCCACAGCCCGTGCGCTTCAATGAGCGGTTGGTGCTTCACCAGGTACCGCACCAGAGCCTGCTTCATGTACTCCTCGTGATCCTTCGGCCAAGACGACGTTTCAAGCTGCTTGTTCAGCCTGGGCACGACGTGCTTGGCATACCCCAGCACGATCCAGGGCGCGCTCATCTTCAAGGCAACATTAGATGGGCAGATCAGCTGCCCCCTCCCCGTCAGCTTCTGGCGAACATGCATAGCTACCACCGCGAGGGGGGTCTCCACCCGACTGAGCACGCTTCCGCTGCCGCCCCGCACAAAACTACAGGTCACCATCATAGTCGTCGCGTTCTGCGCGATGACCTTCCCAGGAGAAAGGCCCTTGACATGCGGCCGGTACACCTTCTTGGCGGCGTGCGCATAACCCCTGGCCGCTTCGAAGGGCAGCCCATAGACATCCCGAAAATAACCTTCATCCGTTGTCTGGCCTGCAGAGACAAGCACCAAACTTTATTTCTTTGCCATTGCCCCGGAAGCGACCAGCAACCGCACACCTATTGGATTGGTAAGGAATACAATACCGTAATCACTTGACAGCGACTTCTCAGACATATATCTCAAGCCTGAGGATGACAATGTGTGTCCTGATCAGAGCGACTCCGATTCCCTTCCCTAAATATCGCCGGTCTTACTGGACCAACATCCCTCAGGAACAAGGATGCCACACACGCGTTGACAAAGCATCGAGGCTGTGACCTGACGTTTGGCAACCAGGTCGTATCCACATTCTCACAAACTTCAGACTATCTCCCAACTGTTCGTGTCCACCAAGATTAGAAGCAATCAGAGATGTAATGCAGAAAGGTGAACAGCCGGCTCAGAACCTGCAAACAGCCTACACTCACCGGGGTTCCCGTGGCCGGCGATGTTGTCACCTCCTACCCACCCCTGCTCCTCATCCCATTGGGCGCAGGTCGGGTCTTCGGGGTCAGGGACGAACCATGCAGGGCCCTTTTGGAGGAGCTCCTGCGTCCATGTATGCTCAACGAATGCGGCGTCGGGGTGGTTCCGAATGCGGACGACGCCGGCACCTGCCAAAGAGTAACAGAGTGGTTCACTTATTGATCGATGGGCCACAGCAGAATCTGGGGCGGCTGATGGAACCAGGAACTTGAAGCAGTCAAGTGAAGCAGGACTTCAGTGTTCGTAGAGGTCTTTGCAAGTGGCCTATGGAAGAGCGGCACTGCGAGAGAGACTATGTCAAACCTGAACCAGATGAACTTGGGGTGGTGCTGAAATCTGCTATCAGGATAGACGCACAATTACAAAGGGAGAAGTGCGGGAAGCTTGAAAACTAAACCAGCTGATGATGCCCCAATCCAGATCTACGCACAGTGAAGGCACTGCCGTTCTGCCCACCTGGCAGCCGCTTCGATCCCCCAGAGTCAGCAAGCTGTGAGTAGACCGCTGCCTCACGTGCTGCCCTACCATCTCATTTGCACCAGGGAACAACTAGAAGGGTACGCAATTGGAACGCGACAGTAGCGCAAAGACGAGAGTGCCTTTGGGCAGTCCAACAGGTATCAGTACTTACCGGACGGTTTTGCAGTCAAAACCACGCATTTCTCCGCCACTTCCTTCTCCTCTTGACGCGCCTTCTGGGCCGCCTCTCTCTCCTCCCTCCACAGCTGGCGGGCTGCCGCCTGCGCCAAGTCCTCCGCCTCCGCCTCCGCCTTTGCCTCCGCTGCCTGATGTCCCGATCCGGCGTTATCCTCCTCCTTCCCTTTAACTGCCTGAGGCCGCGCCTTCCTGCGCCGCTCTCTCGGCCGCGCACCTCTTCCAACTGGTGTCTGGAAGCCAGCAGAGAAGATGCAGATTACGAACAAGCCAATACTTAGCATGAAAAATCTTCATCCCCTCACAGCTGGGCCTAGGGTTGCTGTATCCTCTGCGTACGGATGGCAGATCAGGGAACCCCATGCGCAGCAGCTCTCCAACATTGCACTAAAGCAACCCAGGTTCTTCCAAAGTAAACAATCGTCCAAAGATTGGAGTGTGGTTGAGGAGGTTTGTGACCATCGCAACCAAGCTGTCAACTATTAAAGCGGATGGTGATCACATAAAGAGCACACCTACTTTCCATACCTTTCAGGCAGCCAACGGCATGAAATGCAACAACTGCCAATTCCAACAGCTTTCCCAAGAAGCGGGAGGCAGCCATCACCAGGGCTTGCACAACTCTGGAGGCAAAAAACATTCATGAGGGATCAGGGATCCAGAATGAAAAACAGCCAACACCATGACTTGGAATTTTACTGAGTCAGGAAGACTCCCTTAAGAAATCCAGAAGCAGATGACAGCTGACGCCATGACCTGCATTAAGCATTGATTGTTCCACTGGGCTACTTAAGTACCAAGCTCTGGGACCCCGACATTCTAACATTTAGCAGCAGCAATCAACGCACCCTGAAGGATTCCTCCTCGTCAGCGTCTTCGTCCGCCCCCTCTCCTTCAGTCTCCGACCCCTCTTCGCCATCTGACGTGGAGCCTGTGCCCTTGGCCAGCTTCATGACCAATTGTTCACCTTTTCCCGGGGAAGGCCTTGGTGTGGCATAGTTGCTTTCAATCCCCATGAACTCCTCATCAGTGCCCTGTAAGAGTACTCTCACTGGCACCCACTCGTCCTGCTCGATCAGATCTGGATCTGCATTGGACTTCGTGATGGTCATCTGGTGCTGTCTGCCGAGATTAATGTTATGTTCCGTACTGAGAGAGAGCCCCTTCCGGCCCACAGCGGGGGGGGTCAGAGAGAAAGTCGTTCCTGTACCATTACCGTAGTCTGTTTCGAACAAAATCAGGCCCATCCCCAGCCCGTTGTACAGGCCAGTCTTGGCCACCTCGGAAAGGACCTGTTCTTCTGAAGGCCTTGAGCTCATGTCCAGGTGGAGTGTACTGCAAGAAAAAGTCCCCCCTTCCTTGTACGGGTAGATGGCCTTGAGCTTGTACCTCGGATCAGCTATCTTCCCGTCAATAATCAACATTTCACAGTCGCTCTCGTATCCTCCCGCCATCTTGGGGCGCCAGCTTCGAGGGAAGGACAAGCTTTGAAATTGAGATCCCCGGGGCCGTGGCGCAAAACTATCAAAGCGTTCTCCTTTGTTTGTGTCTCCGGCACTTTCATTAGTGTAAATTACCCTCGAATACCTGGAAGCACCTGATTGTGAAAATTATTGCAATTCTGACAACGGTTATGGGAGTGGTTACACCGCTGACAATGACGCTGACAGTGACACCGACACTGGCCGGGGCCCTCACTGTGACATTAAGGTTATGTTGCGAACCTGTGACGGTTCGTGGCAATCGACTAGCGGCTTGTTAGGGTTTAATACGCCACTTCCCAGTGACATTAGGGTTACTCACAGTGACAGTGACAACCGCTCACAAGATTCCCAACTAACCAACTGATTGTTCCAATCTCCGCGCGCCACGTGTCCCCCCTCCCGCACGGCTCGCGATCGGGCCGGAATGACCAGCGGGGCGGTGGAACCATTTTACTTGGTAATCAGTTTCCCCAGCAAGTGGGGTTTAGGAGAATTTCTAGGTTTTTGTGACGCGTTTTGACCTCAATCGACAAATGACGCCAACTTATCTGAAATATTTTGAACGTCCATGCCAAAGAGATGCAGTAACCAGCGCAGTAACTAGGGTGGGTCGAACTTGTCAAGCTCCCGCTGCCGTCGCGACTGCTTTTGGGGGCAAATGAATGCCGTTGATTATTGTTGAGATGGTCGGTTCTGGCTGATTGGCAGATCGGGCTAGAAACCCTAATAAGTATATAAAAAAGGGGGGCGTTGTTCCTGAGAACTAGCGCAATGGCGGCCATTCAAGGGGTGGGCAGTTTGTACGTTCTATTGGACACAAAGCGAACGGCATTTTGCGAAGGTGAATGCATCACAGGCTAGTAAAAAGAACGTAGGAGTGTGTAAAATACCTTTGGCAACCTCCCTCAAGCTTCCTGCAAGGCGCTACAGCATTGCTGCTCTCATTTTGGATGCGCCAATGGCGGCGGCCGCGGGCACTTCAAATGTGGTAGGGCCGCTTTTCTGGCCGACGAAGGTTGAGGGGAGGGGCGCCACACTTTGGGCCCGCAGCTCAGCCCAGAAGCTGGAAGCAGAAATAAAAAGTAGCTTCGGAGAGGAGGTAGTACAGATAGGGTATCAGCTGGATTGCAAGACGGGCATCTCCTCATCTGTTGGGGGTAGGTACCCATTAAGAATGTACATGGAGCCTTCAAGCCAGGAGAGCACGGCATTATGTGTATTGGACCATGCGGTGGACATGTCGTTGCCCGCCATGGCCCAGCGTATCCAAAGTTTAGAGCTGCCCCTATCGTCTGCTTGCTTTCACTCAGTGACAGTGGTTGCTTCACACAAGCACTTCTACACGCCCCTCCATGTCGACCCGCTTGGGATGGCGACTTGGATGGTTTTGACAAGGGGTAGAAAGCTTTGGCACTTTTGGAGTCCGCACAAGGGTTCAACAAGAGACATGGTACAAAGCAAAGAGGAGTCTTGCCCGCCCCCTGATATTGCAATTGATGCTGGAGTTGGCGATCTGATCCTGGTGCCGTCAGGTTGGGCTCACTCTGTAGTTACGAAGGAAGATGCGGTCGGATTGGCCGGCAACTTTTTGACCCGGGACAATGTTGCGGGGATAGACCTGGCATTGTCCGAAGAGGGAAGGTCAGGTGGGCTCGAGGGAAACGAGCTTCGGGAGTTCGTTGCCAACCAGAAGAAGCAGCTTGCAAAAGACATGCGCGTTTCAGTGCGGGCGCTTGAGAATTTGCAGCAAAAGGCTGAAGCCTCTGCGGCGGCGGTGGTTGAAGCAGAGGGAGAGTCGCTTTCAAAAGCGTTCCAAGCAAAACATGCAAAGCGGAGTGGGCGGGGCAAACATAAAATGGGGACAGGGAAAAGGAAAAGTTGTTGGCGCAAAGTTGGGCGTAATCGATATTGCAACCATCCGGAGCACGAGCCAGGCTGTGCAAGGATGCTGAAACAGCGTGGTATTCCGGGTACTTGGTATGGCAAGCCAGTTGAAATGTGTAGGGCGTGCGAGCTGAGGTTTCGGGCCTCTCAAAAGCTGCACGAAGGGGACTTGGCTACACACTTAGGACTTGGGACATAAGATTACGAAGTTTGAAAGCCGTAGTTTGAAAGCCGTAGTTTGAAAGTCGTGCTCAAATTCTATGTCTTTACATACAAGAAGCGTTGATGTCGCTGTAGTTATCGACTGTTAGACTCCGACGTAGCTATCAGCTGCTCGAGAACCCTTTTGGGATTCTTTTGTAACCGTGTCATACAGCACCCCCTTAAAAACCGTTTGCAGTGACAAGCTCAACGCAAGCGATCCCTGTCTTATCATATCCAACTCGCGGTTGCATGATGACACTTCGGACGAGAGGTTTTCAATTCGAAAGAGTAAAGCAGATTTCGCCTTGTCAACATCTTGCAGTCTTGAGCGCGCGATCTAGGCCCTCGAAGATGGTGCGCACAAGATCGTACACATTTTTGCACAGGATGATTCTACCTATTAATGTCACAACCTGGACATGCGCCCCAAGGTACGCGCATGATACATTAGTCGAGATCTTGGTCCAGTCCGTGCTATTTTCCTGTAAATCTGCCTCTCCTGAAAAGCTTGTACTATACACCACACACACACTATGATTATTGGTGTGACATGATGCGTCGCGAGGCCATGCCGTGTCGCGTGCGCGGCGCTTACCATGTATGCGATAATAACGGAAAAGATGAATGCCTACCCCATGCATGAGCTATGTGCAAACATGAGGTGATGGCCATTCAAAGGCTCACATTGCGGGTAAGCTCGATGATCATACTCGACAATTCAAGCCCTCAAGTAGTGTCTACCGTTGCACAGTATTGCATGCCCATGTTGCACGTACTTGTTTTTTGACGCATTTCGCTTTACATCCACCAAGAAGTGATATTGAAAGGTGCGCATGCTGCACATGCTGAGATGCATGTTGAGATGCATATAAACAGTGCTCTAAGCAGAAGATCACAGCCCACTCGCCCAATCATGGGTGGGTCATCTTGACGATAATCCTGTTGCCCTCGACTGTGATTGAACCCCTGTCTCCTCGATTAGCCCCCTTCCACTTCACGGTGCCGCTCAGCTGTACGCCGCGCACGGCGAAGAAGTTGGAGAGGAGGTACTCCAACCAGCCCACGTAGTTGTAGAACTTCTCCCCCTTGTCCCAGACAAGAGAGCGCTTGTTGCCTGAGAGCGTCCACTGGCAGTAGAAGGAGGGAAACTTCTCTGTAAGGTAGTGTAAGCTCTCGCCCACGTACAAGGGCCCGATCACCTCTCGCTCAATTGTGACTGTGCGCTTCTGTAAAAAAGCATAAGGTAGCTCCAAGTCGTCCTCGTGGCAGTGGTCGTGCACGGCTGCCAAGATTGCGCTCTCTTCGGCCGTCAGGGGACGGGAGAGAGCAAAGCGGCCGGTGAATCTGGTGTCGTACCCCATCACGCTGCCTTGATCCTGTTTGAGAAGTGAGGAGGGGGTTTGAGCTAGTGAGTGGCTTTTTGAGGGGCTAAAATTGATTGTGCTAGAGGAATGATCGAATGAGGGGGCAGGAGCAGCTTTTATAGGTACCTTTCACCAACTACTATCAACCAGAGGCTTCTATGGAAGGCCTGAGTCAGACTTTTCTTGAGTGATTCCGAAGCGGTTCGATTGAGCGATTCCGAAGCCGTTTCGAGCTCTCTCTGAAGAGAAATCCGACTCAGACGTCTGAGCGAGCTCCATGGCTGGCAAAAAATCTGACTCGAACACTTGAGCGAGCTCCACCTGGCAGCTCACTGAGGCAATTGAGCGATTCCAACGTGCTTCTGATCTGCCTCTGATCGGAAACCCTGACTAAAAGAGACTTCAGCGAGCTCCAGCTCCAGCTCAGGCGGTTGAGCGATTCCGAAGCTGAGATTCCGAACCAATGAATGGTACGGAACTCGAAACTTTACTTTTTCGGACCACGTGGCTCTGTCCACATGCCGGCTGAACTCGGCTGAACCCCCATCATTAAATTCCGAACCTCCGAGGTCGGTTACTGTCAGACATGCCTCAGTCAGGACTCTCCGGAATCGCTCAACCGCCTGAGTTGAGCTGGAGCTCGCCAAGACTTCTGAGTCAGCTCTCTCTTCAAAGCCTGAGCTTGATTCTGGAACCGGCACCTCGGAATCAAGCTCGGAATCGCTCAACCGCATGACCTGAGCTGGAGCTCGCTCAAATGTCTGAGTCAGGTTTCTATTCAAAGCCTGAGCTTGACTCCGGAACCGTCACTTTGGGATCGCTCTTTGAGACGTCTGAGTCAGCTTTCTCTTGAGAGAGAGCTGGAAACGGCTTCGAAATCGCTCAACCGGTTCTGATTACTCAGAAAAAGTCTGACTGACACCTCTTTGGTTTGCAGCAGCAGTGCTGACCAGTATCTATAAAAGCAGCTCCTGCCCTCTCATTTGATCATTCCTCCAGCACAATCCTTTTCTTATCCCTCAAAAAGCCACTCACTAGCTCACCTCTCTTCCCAGCGACTTCCCAAAGCCAGAAAGCAGCGGCATACAAGCATGCTCTCCCCCGATCTGCATACAAAGGTAGCAAGCTGAGTTTGCCAGTTGATGAAGGGTGGTGGTGTCTAAGTTCAGAGGCGGGTGAGCTGGAAGGAGCTGCGCATCAGAGAGCCAGGTAACAGCTGTCTGTACAACTGCGTTTTCTATGACGAATTTCCCTTGATGGACAGTGCGGACACTGAAGACAGAACTTTTCAGTTCTCGAGCATACGAAGTTTATTTTGAACCGCTTTTTGTCTTCCCTGCACTGACAGTGTACTTGTCTGTCAGAAGAAGCCATCTTACACAAAGTCCTCTTCATGGACAGTGCGGACAGTGAAGACAAAGCTTTTTGGTGGTCTGATCTGTTTGAATTCTTTGCAGGGTTCGGGTGAGCGCGCGCGGCCATCAACATCAGGGGAGGCCGGACCAAACCCAATGGTGAGTCGTTTCAAAGGTTCTGAAAGGCTGCTTGCGTTTCTTATGCACGAGAATTAACAGAAACTCTGTCTTCACTGTCCCCACTGTCCATCAAGGGAAAATCGCTGATAGAAGACGCATTCGCATAGACAGAGCTGTCTTTATCTACGAAATAGGATCTTCAAAACCATGTAAAGTTTGATTGCCTAGTCTGCTCGAAAAGTCTGCATTCATTCGCGCGCGCTGACAGCATGCTTGTCTGTCAAGCGAAAAGATCTCACACGTTTTCCCCTCATGGACAGTGCGGACACCGCACTGAAGACAGAATATTTGGTCTAACTGCTCAAAGGTTAAGGTTTTTGATGTGGACAGCATGCTTGTCTGTCAAGCGAAAAGATCTTACATAGAGTTCCCCTCATGGACAGTGCGGACGGTGAAGACAGAGTATTTGGTCTGGCTGCTCAAAGGTTAAAGTTTTTTGATGTGCAGGAGACCGCAGCTAGGGGCATGGTTGAGCGGGGTTACGTCGTCTTCTCAGCATACACCAGTTTCAACACTCAGACGGGCAAGAAGGCCATGCTCCCACCAAAGCATTGGCACGATTCTACACTGGCCAACTGCCTCAGCCCCGCATATTTTGACCCCTGCGACAATACCCTGCTGATCAACACAGCGCCTTCTGGCGTTCTCGTGTTGGATTTCGACCTTCAAGACGGGGGCATGGAGCAGCTGGCTGAGTGGGAGAGCAAGCACGGCGCATTCACGGGGGCGCGAGTGCGCACCGGCAGTGGGGGGGTCCATCTCTACTTCTCGCATCAACGAAGCGTGGAGGCGGGATTAGATGCAGGCACACCAACGCACTTTGCAAAGCTCGCGCTCAAGATCCCGGACCCAAAAATGGGGAAGGAAACGGTGAAAAAGGTGGGGGTCGATATGCGAGGCGTGAGCTCGAATGGCATGATTGCGTGCCCTCCATCTTCCTATCAGCGGGGCGAGGAGTTTGCGCGCTACACTGTCGCAGGCGGAGGGGACCTACCAGCTGTCGATGCTCTGCCTCCCCTTCCTGGATGGTTTATTGAGATTCTGAACGAGCGAGCTTCTTCGAAAGCAGCGGGGGGCGCGCCAAAAAGCCGTCCAGGGGCTGGGAAAGCAGCTGCGGCAGGGGCTGGGGGTACGCAGGCGCGCGCTCCGGGGAACCCGCCGGATCTTGCGGATCCAGTTCTGCAACAACAGGTGGTCGAGGTCTTGCGGGGCATGCTCAGCAGCTACGGGGACAACAGTTCTGTCTTTCGCAAGGCAGAATTGAGCACAGTTGCCGGCCCGGAAGCAGTGATCTATCACTTTGAGAACGGTAATGGGGGCCGGGCAACGTGCCCTTACCTCAAGGCAGGAGAACGGGCGCACAGCAGCAACAACTTCGGCCTACTTCGAAGAGGAACGGAGATCACGTACGTGTGCCACAGCGGGCGGTGCAAGAGCGAGGGGCGCAGAAACAAGAAGC